TCATTTCCGCAAATGCTTTGAACAGAAAACTTTTCCGTTAAAAGCATTTGCGGAAAATCATGCCAGTCTAGACGTAGCCCTGAGGTATTGCAGCATATTGGTAACGTTTTTAGTTTTCAGCTCTCATGAGCCAACCACCTAAAAAACTGTTGCCTAGTAACAAGCTACGCAAGAGGATGATCCTAAAATGTGCATGCCTGTCTTGGCTCATGTATTCAAGTATGCACATTCCTAATGATATTTCGAGACCTGTTTTGCTGCTTTCCATAGTATCTTGTACCTTGATTATTTTTCTGTTCGTACAACTAGTGCTTATTGTCTCAAGAAACTGTAGAGCCTATAACTGCTCAGAATGAGGTGGTTGTTTGAGATTTCCATGGTTACAGACCAGACAAGAGTCTGTACACATTTTGAAGATTTTTCCTATGAGGTCAATAGGAGTACAGAACACATGCTGTTATGCAAATCAGCACATTCTTAAAATAAACAATGTTTAGTTGCATTACTTTAATTGGTTACTATCTGATCAATAGTTTTCTAGTTGATTTGACTAAATAGTCTGTCCTGGAATATACCAACTAATTCTCTAACCTTCCAATTCTGCTTTTACAAATTTAGATTATTTATTATGGAAAAGAAAGCTGACTCCCTTTTGTAAAACCAAAAAGGGAGATACATGTACAACAAAATTTGTGTTCTGTATGATTCTAGTTACAAGTTCTGCTCATAATTTGTTTTATTCCTCAAAAAAAATTTTAGGAGAATTCAGACATCTGTCCTAAATGTGTTTCATTTCAATACTATATTGTGTCATTATATTGGAATCCATCTCTTTAAAGATTGTAAAGTCTTCAGTCGGTCCTAAAACTGCCAGTTCATCTATCTTTTTATGTCACAGGGATTATCTGCATCAGATATCTCCACAGGGTCACATGTCAAAACTTTGCCTACTGTAGACTTGCCAAAACTACTCCAGATTTTGTGATTTAAAAGTTCTCATTAACACCATAATACAAGTTTCAGACCATTTATTCAGTTGGTGCCTCAATGGATTGAGAAATTGATTGGGAACACAAATAGGAATAAATGGTTAATTTTCAGTATAGGAGGAACCTAAAGAGGAGTATCCCAAAAGATTTGTAGTGAGACATGTTGTTTTAATACTTCAATGATCTGGAAAAGAGAGCAAAAATTGAGGTGGTAAAATCTCAAATGACACTACTTAGGCTAGTCAAAACTAATATTATGAGGAACTGAAGATCCTAACAAAGTTAGACATCTGGGCAAGACTGGCAGGTGAAATTTAATGTAAATAAGTATAAGGTAACATGCTGGAAGGAATAAGTTGAATTACTTATAATAATTGGGCTATAAATTAGTTGCAACAACCTAGGAAAATGTTTAATATGAGTGTGGATAGTTTAGTGAAAACATTTCTTCAGAGTGCAGCATTGGTTAAAAGCAAACAAATGTTAGCTTGCATTATAAATAGGCTATAAAATAATATTGAAGTGTAACTACACTATTATAGATAGGTCATACAGTTGAATGAGGCCTAGAGAAGGACAAGTAAAATGATTACAGACATAGAAATATTGGGAGTTTACATAAGCTGTAACATAATAGGATATGTGAAATCTTTAGAGAAAAGTCAGATGGGTGTAATTTGCCATTTTTTGTAGTAGAATATCAAGATGCTATCTTATAAAGTTAAAAATATTTTAAACGATAAAAGGCAAGCAGTGGTTTTGAACAATGTATAATTAAGCTGTGAACTCACTGCTCTAGGGTACTATTGAAACAAAAAGTTCAATGGATGTTGTGGCTAGGTCCTCACTCAAGCTCCTCGCCCTGGGACACCTTCTTTGTCCACAAATTAGCCGGAGACGCTTTCTGGTGCAATCACCAGTGCCTTTTATTGTCAGTTTCCCACCACCTTCTATTTACAGAGCTTTGGATTACAGCAAACTCAGTTAGCCTCTCCTTCTACCTGGGGAAGTTACAGAGCTTTGGATTACAGCAAACTCAGTCAGCCTCTCCTTCTACCTGGGGAAACACACTGAGCCACACCCTGGCTCTTCTCTTTGCTCCTCTCCTCTCTTTTCACTTCACCTCTGGCTACCTTATATAGCCCTCTGGCTGATGAAGCCCACAGCTGCTTCCATTAGCCCTTCAGGCCTGGGCTTGCTCAGCTGTCTTCAGTTGGCCTTTTCAGCCAGGCTGTAATGGCAGAGCTCTGACTTAGCCAGCAGCCTGTCACAGTGTTAAAGAGAATTTTATGAATATTAAAATCTGTAATTAAGTTTATTAGAATAAAATTTATAAGGGATTGCAACCATTATGTTCTTAAGATGTAAAAATGCTTTTCTTCTATCTCATTCTACATGTGCTGATGGCTTTTCACATATTGGTTTTATTTTGTTTGTGTCACCATTTACACATGAGTTTGCAGTAAAAATATATTCCAGTTGTTACACTTTGGTTTTAGTCTGTTTTACGTCTGGATAACTTTTAAAAAAGAGTTGTAAAGCTTTGATCTGTGCAGTGCTAATTCAAGGATGTGACTGTCGCTAGTATAGGTGATGTGTATGTCTGTCAAAGTTCCCTCTAATTTTCCATCCATATGCAGCATAAATTTTGTTATGTACACGGAGGCACGTATTAATGTACACCACCAATAAAAACTCGTGCTGCCAGCTGTGGGTGCTCTGCTGATCATCTGGGAGATATTTGAATTAAAGATGTTAAGGTCTAGTCGACTAGTTGCTTTCTCCCCACCTTCCCACTGCCTTTATAAGATTGAGGCAGCAAAGGGGTGGGGGGAGTGTGGGCTACTTCAAAGTGGCAGAGTGCCACACAGACCCCGGGATCAGCTGTCGGGCGTTGCCCCTTTGAAAAGCCACCACGGAGTTCCAAAGCAGCAGTGCCATGTGGAGCCTGGGTTAGCTAGGGACACCCTAGATGTCCCCGAACTCTGTGCAGCGTATCCGCTGAACCTGGAGTTAGGTGGGGAGTCTCCAGCTGACTTGGGGCTCTGTGTGGCATTTCAATGGAATCTGGGATCATATGGGAACTCCCCAGCTGACCCCAGGCTCCGTGCGGCATTTCAAAGCCGCAGCGCCGCATTGAGCCTTGGGTCAGTGGGACTTCCTGCTGGCCCCGGGCTGCACGTGAAGTTCCAACTTTGAAATGCACAAGAAATGCTGGGACTCTTGTACATTTCAAAGGAAGAATGCAGAAGTGTCTATCAACTTAGTCGATGGAAATTCCATTGACTGCTCGACTAGTAAATTAATCAGGATTCAACATCCTTAATTTGAATCTTTCCTGGGTGGCCACCCAAGCACTCAGCTTACAGGGAACACTAGTCTCTGTCATCTGTCAGTCTTTTTCATGCCCTTTTCCTGCTAGCAGGCATTGTCACTAGAGTACATAGACTATTCCAGTTGAATTTTTGGAAATTGTACAGTTGTAAGCTTAACTTCAGGAACGTATCTTCGAGTGTTTTGTTTCAGTAGATAGTCTCAATCAGTTGACACAAAATCCATTTCACTAGCTGTCAGCTTCCTGGGGTTGTCTGCCTTAAACTAGTGAGTCTTTTGGGGGAGAGAAGTGTTTCAGCTAAATTTCATCTTGTCTCCATTCTTTTTAAGAGCTCTACACTATTTGGATGTTCTCTATTCAATGAGCTGTTTCCAAAGACATTTTCTTTCTGTGCCAGCCTCCCAGTTGAACCCTCAAGCCTGGTGCAATTTTTATTAAGGCCAGTGTCTTTCTTGAATAAGGTTCTGCTGTGCTGACCAATTGTTTATAAAAGTCACAGTGTATCAGAGGACAAATTATTCTTGCCTGTTAGTTTTTCATATGGTGACTCCAATAGACATCTTCTAAATTATGCTAGACAATTAACATACTCTGGCAGAATACCTAGAAGTAAGTAGAGTTATAACACTTTTTCCTCTGGCTTTAAAAGCTTTCGACTACAGCTTGAACCTCTCTGGTCTGGCACCCTCAGGTCCTAAGCTGTCCTGGATCAGGGATTTTGCCAAACCAGGGAAGGTCAAGGCTCCCTTGCTGGCTGCCCCACTCCTGGCTCCTCTCCATGGGGCTCCCAAGGCTGGGGCTCCCCGCCTTCCTGCCTGCCAGCTGCGCCAGGGGGCTCTTAGGGGTTCCCCAGCTATGGCTGCCCGACCACCTCCAACCTTGCTACCTATGGTGGTTCTTTGGGTTTCCCAGCCCCGGGTTGCATGGCCGCTGCTTGCCCCGTTGCTGCAGCCCGGCCACACTGCCACTAAGGGATTCCCAGGGTTCCCCGGTCACCATGGACCGTGCTGCCAGGTGCTCTCCATCAGCCTGGCCCCCACTGACATAGGGGATTCCCTGTTTGGGGCCAGCACTCCCCGGCTACCGCCTGGCCCCACTGCTGGGGTTCCCCAGCTGGAGCTCTCAAGCCACTGCCTGGCCCTTCTTCCACGGGGTTCCTAGTCAGGGCTGCCCAGCCATCCCACCCCCACTACTGCGGGAGGGGGGTGTTCCCCGGGCTCCCCAGCTGTCACTGGTCCCAGTTCCAGGGGCTCTCCAGCCACCTGACCCTGCTGAAAGTGGGGTTCCCTGTCAGGAGGGAGGCTCCCTGATGCCACCTGGCCCCGCTGATGCCAGAGTTCCCCTGCCTAACTGTTGCTGTCACCACTGGGACACTGCAACCCCCACATCCTTTCGGCTGGCTCCCGTTCCTGGGGTTCTTTGGTCCAGTAACATCTGTGCTGGACCATGGATGTTGCCGGACAAGAGAATTCCAGGTTTTGGGAGTTTCAGTCTGTAGTAAGAGAGTTCCTAACTGCCTTCAAATTGCGGACGCAGAAATCTGGATTGGTTACCACCTGATGTAGGGGACTTGCCACATCTTAGAAACAGCAGGTAAGAGAAATTAACTTTTCTTTGTTTCTTATAAAGTCTTCTTCAAAAACATAATTACCTCCCCCCCTTCTTTTAACCAACAGGTTCGCCACAAAATATCACAGAAGGTTTATGCAATGAAGCTTCTTAGTAAATTTGAAATGATAAAAAGATCGGATTCAGCCTTTTTCTGGGAAGAAAGAGATATCATGGCCTTTGCCAACAGTCCCTGGGTGGTTCAAGTAAGGAGTGTTTTTTGTTTTTTTTCCTGTTTTAAAATTTAAGTTAAATGTGTTTCATTTTTGGGTCAATTTTGAATATTAAAAATTGAAAATTAAAATAATGGGTCAGATTCTGATTTCAGTTTTGAAGTAATACCACTGTAATTGAATTGGGAATCGGGATCAATGACTTTTATTTAGTTTATATCTGTCCATGCTTATAGGCCAAGTTTTAGGGTTTGTCTCCACTATGGCTGGGATCCCAGGGAGCTTCCCCTCGCATGTAAAGTTGTAACCACTGAAATTTTTCATTTTACTATACCTAGTGCAAACCTGCTAAATGAACAGTCAGTTGCTCCGGTGCCCCACCAGAATAAGATGAGTAAGGGGAATCAATGGGAGTGTTTCTCTCATTGACCCAGCATGGTTTGGATGCCGCGGTCAGATGATCTAAGTTACATCTACTTGAGTTACAGTGCTAATGTAACTCAAATTGCATAGCTTAGATCAACTTGAATCCATAGTGTAGACATGCCCTCAGTTTGATCACTTCAAACGAGGTATAAATTGAAATGGAATTTTCAAACAGCATTGAATGTGTACTCTACCTGAAATGTAATTGTTTTTCTGTGTTTGAAAGGAAAATTGTGATTTGGATCAGCCATTTTTGCAGTTATATAAAATGTGAGGGAACTGAATTTTTGCTAAAAAATCTTTTTTGCCAGATTAATTTTATTAGTGTTTGCAATACGGCTTCATTGTGATGTCATAAACATTACATTGTGTCATTACTGAGTATATTAGGGAAGAAGAAAGTGGATTTAAGTGTAAAGTATTTATTTATGCACCCATGTACCTCAGTCTGAAAAGATAAAAGCCTAAATATAGGGAAAAAATCTTGGTACCTTGATTTAAGAATTAAATAGTTATCATTTGAAATATTTTCAAGTGTGTAAATAAGCTTCTCTGTATGTAAAAGGTAAATACAGCCATTTCATTTGAATACTGAACACTGAATATTACATAGTACAGTAAACTTCCGATAATCCGGCACCTTTAGGACCCAGGGGGTGCCGGATTATCAGATATGCCGGACTATCGGAAGGGGGGGGCTATGAGGGGTGTGGGGTGGGCGGGATGCCACCCCAGACCTCTCATAGCCCCCCCTTCTGATAGTCCGGCTCTGCCCCAGATGTCCCTGATTCAGCCGCTGCTGGTCAGTTTCAGTAGCGGCTGAATCGGGGACGCCTGCAGCAGAGCAGCTGGAGTGCTGCCAGGTTGGTCCGGTAGCGCCGACCCTTGGCGCTGT